TGCCCTTCAACATTTTAAAGGGGTCTTGTGCAGCAGATTTGCCTAATGTAATACGTCACTTGATTTCTTGACTGCTGCTTCCCAGTTTTTAAGGTTGATCCGAGCAAAATGAAGTCTTTGACAACTTCAACATTTTCTCCCTTTGTCTTGATGTTGTTTATTGGTCCAGTGGTGAGGATTTTTGTTTTCTTTACATTGAGATGCAATCCATATCAAAGGCTGTGCTCTTTGATCTTCATCAGTAAGTATTTTAAGTCCTCTTCACTTTCAGCAAGCAAGGTTGCATCATCTGTATATTGCAGATTGTTAATGAGTCTTCCTCCAATCCTGATGCCACATTTTTCTTCATATAATCCAACTTCTCAGATTACTACAGGTTGAGTAAATTTGGTGAAAGAGTACAACTCTGGCATACACCTTTCCTAATTTTAAACCAGTTGGTGTTCCCTTGTTCTGTTCTACCAACTGCTTCTTGGTACAGGTTTCTCATGAGCACAATTAAGTGTTCTGGAATACTCATACTTTGCAACGTTGTCTATAGCTTGTCATGATCCACACAATCGAAAGCCTCTGCATAGTCAATAAAGCCTAAGCAAACATCTTTCTGGTATTCTCTGCTTTCAGCTAAGATCCATCTGATGTTAGCAATGATATGTTCCATGTCCTCTTCTGGAACCAGCTTGAACCTCTGGAAGTTCTCTGTCAATGTATGTTGCATTACCTTTAATACATTTTACTCACATGGGGTATCAATGCTGTTGTCTGATGATTTCTGAATTCTGTTGGGTCACCTCTCTTTGGAATGGGCACAAATACGGATCTCTTCCAATCAGTCAGTCAGATAGTTGTCTTCCAAGTTTCCTGGCAGAGATGAGTGAGTGCCTCCTGTGCTGCTTCACTTTCTTGAAAGATTTCAATTTTTATTCCATCAATTCCCGGTGCCTTGTTCTTTGCTAATGCCTTCAGTCCACCTTGGACTTCTTCCTTCAGGATCACTGGCTCTTGATCATACGCTACCTCTGGAAATGGTTGAACATCGACCATTTCTTTGTGGTACAGTGACTCTGTGTATTCCTGCCATCTTCTATTGATGCTTTCTGCAATTGTTCGATAATTTGTCCAGAGAATCCTTCAATACTGCCAAGTTGATGCTTGAATTTTTTTTTTTAATTTAATTTTTAAATAAATAGAGTAGCCTCAAAAAGAAGAAAAAAAATACACATGTACATAGAAATAAAAAAAGAGGGAGATCAGAAAGATTTAGTAAACATTAACACAACAGAAATGAAAACAACAAGAAAACCCACAAACAAAATGAACTCAACATAGAAGATTATGTGGAACAAAAAAAACACACACACAAAATGACAGCAATTTATTCCTACCGGTTACAATGACATGGAGTCCTGGTGTGGCACTGTGGACTAATGTACCAGACTGCAACGCCGTTAGAACTGCAAGGCTGGTGGTTCAAGCTCACCAGCGTCTTCTTGGAAACCCTATACAGGGTCACTATGGGTCAGAACCAACTTGACAGCACTTCACAACAACAACAACAAATTGACAATGACACTGAATGCAAATGGATTGAATATACAAGTCAAGAGGCAGAGAGAGTAGAATGGATAAGAAACAGGATCTTTCAATATGCTGCTGTCTACAGAGACACATCAAAAACTTGGAGACAGTCTAAATGTCCATCAACAGAAGAACGGTTAAGCAAAGTTTGGGAACATACACGTGCAACGCTGAAGAGTAACAATGAATCGGTGAAGCAGCTCACAACCTAGATGAACCTGGAGAACAGTGTGCTGAATGAAGTCACTCCATGACAAACGGAAACCAACGTGATAAAAAGTCAACGAAAGGCTTTCTTCCATAAAACAAACAATATATTGTGGTTATGGGGGGAGAGAAAATTATTCCACGAGTCCTGGTATGGCGCTGCAGGAGAATGCGCGGGACCGCACTGTCAGTTTGAGCCACATGGTCTACAGTTCGAACTCAGCAGCTACTCCTCAGAAATACTGTAGACGGTGGCTAGAGTCAGAACTGACTTGACTGTACCCAATAACAACAGAAGTCAGACACATGTTAACATGGATGACGGAGCAGGCAGTATACAAGAGGGAGGTTAGCAGAGGAACAATGAAGGTAGTGGGAAGCAGAGGGAGGAATGTAACAGTTAAAGTGAATAGAGGTAAATACTTTGAACTGGTGGTACATGGAGGGGATTGTAACTATTGTAATGAAGCACAGTATATAATTTGTTGAAGGTAAAAGTAATGGTCTGCTGTGCAAACCTTCACTCAATTCACAATAAAAAGCTTAAAAGAAAAAACAGGTCACTTAAGTGATCTCACCAGATGGAATACACAGGAATCAAGTTGACCACCTCTGTGGGAAGAGTTGATGGAGATGCTCAATGTCATCAGCCAAATCAAGGCCAGGGGCCGACTGTGAATCAGACCATCAACTGCTCATATGCAAGTGTAGGCTGAAGCAGAGAAAATGAAAACAAGATAACAAGATAGCCCAAACATGACCTTGAATATATGCCATCTAAATGTAGAGTCTGCTTCAAAAACAGATTTGATGCATTAGACACCAGACAAGTTGTGGGATGACATCAAGAACAGTACACATGAAGAAAGCAAAAGGTCATTCAAAAAACAGGAAATTAAGGAAAAATATATCAGAAGAGGCGGAAACTTGCTCTTGAATGCAGAGCAGCTAAAACGACTGAAAGAAATTAAGACACAAAGAGGCTGAACCGAAAACTTCAAAGGCAACGCATGAAGGCAAAGTATTAGACTAAATGTACAAAAACCTGGAGTTAGAACATCCAAAGGGAAGAACACGCTCAGCGTTTCTCACGCTGGAAGAACTGAAGACAAATTTCAAGCCTTGGTGAAAGATTCTATGGTCAAAATATTAAATGATGCCCAAAGCCTCAAAAGAAGATGGAAGGACGACCAGAGAAAAGGCCGATGACCAATCATTTTAAGAGTTACCATGTGATCAGGAACCAATGGCAGTAAAGGAAGAAGTTCAAGCTGCACTGAGGACATTGGCTAAAGACAGGGCTCCAGGAACTGATGGGCTACACATGGAAATCTCTCAACAAACTGATGCAGCACTGGAGGTGCACACTCCTCCATGCCAAGAAATGTGGAAGACAGCTACCTGACCAACGAATAGAAGAAATTCGCATTTGTACACACAAAACACTCAGCCAACAGATTGCCAAGATCATCCAACAATTTCACATGAAACAAAAACTGTGCTGAATATAAATTTAAAATGGCTATAGCAGTACACACAGGGAGCTAACAGACATTCAAGCTGGATTCAGACAAAGACTTGGAATAAGGATATCATTGCTGACATGAGGTGGATCTTGGCTGAAAGCTGAGAATACCAGAAAGATGTTTACTTGTGCTTGATTGACTATGCAAAGGCTTTCTACTGTGTGGATCCTAACAAACTATGGATAATATTTCACAGAATACTGAATTGTGCTTACTGAGGAACCTGCACATAGACCGAACAGAACAAGGGGACACTGAGTGGTTTAAAATCAGGAAAGGTTGTGTACCAGGGTTGTATTCTTTCACCATGCTTATTCAATCAGTACGCTGAGCAAATAATCCAAGAAACTGGATTATAAGAAGAAGACCGTGGCATCAGGATTGGAGGAAAACACCTTAACAACCTGTGATACGCAGATGACACAATCTTGCTTGCTGAAAGTAAAGAGGACTCAAAATATTGACGAAGAACAAAGATTACAGCCTTCAGTACGGGTTGCACCTCAAGGTAAAGAAAACAAAAATCTTCAATCCTCACCACTGGACCAATAAATTAACATCATGATAAATGAAGAAAAGATTGAAGTTGTCAAAGACTTCATTTTGCTTGAATCCACAAACAACACTCATGGAAGCCACAGCCAAGAAATCAAACAACAGATGAATTAGCAAACGTAATGCACAAGGCCTCCTTAAAGTGTTCAAGAGTAAAGCCAGCAGTTCGACAACTAAGATGCGCCCGACTCAAGGCATATTATTTTCAATTGAAAATAATATGAATGTGTAACTTGGACAGTGAATAAGGAAGACCGTAGAAGAATTGATTCATTTGAGTTCTGGTGTTGGAGGAGAATACGGAAAGTACCATGGACTGCCAGAATAAACAAATCTATCTTGAAACACAGCCAGAGCGCTCCTTGGAAGCCGGCATGGCGAGACTTCCTCTCTCATACTTTAGGCATGTTTTCAGGAGGCCCAGTTCCTGAAGAAGGACATCATGCTTAGTAAAGTAGCGGAGGGTCAGAGAACTAGAGGAAGACCCCCAACGAGATGCGCTGACATAGTGACTTCAACAGCGGGTTCAAATGTGACAACTGTGAGGATGTTGTGGGACCAGATGGCACTTCATTAGGTTAGGAGTGGGCACTGATTCGACCGTACCTAACAACAACAACAACAACACTGGAGACATCAGACAGGAAACAGTAGATGGTGACTTTGTGTTCATGGGGGAGAAACACCTCAGAAGAAGGTAATAATGGCCGGTCACAGAACTCAAAGAATGTCATCTGCGGACCTGGTGCATGTCATGCTGCGAACATTCTCAACATCAACAAAATAAAATTGAACAATTAACAAAAAAGCATGAGGGGGCTGCAAAAACTTGATGGAAAAATGGAATGGAAAAATAATCACATTTCCTAGGGACTTTTTGGGGTCCCTCGTATGGGTGTGAGCTGCTGGACCCCTTGGACAGTTCTGATGAAGGAGTGGACATGGGTGTGGGGGTTCTGGTCCGGGAGGCACTTTGGTGGGCCTAGGCCTGACTTTGCACCCAGGAGGCAGGTGGGTGCAGGGTGGGGGTACTGACCCAGCACCTAGGCCATTTCAGCTGACCTAGCATCATACCCGCGCCCCTGACCACTTGCGAGGCGCCCACGGGCTGGCCAGGACTCCCCTAAAGCCCACCTTGGCAAGGCTGCTGGTCTCTTCGGCGGACAGCTTGGCCTGCAAGGCTTTCTCGAGCGGCTCGGCTGCCAGCTGCACAGAGCGCTGGGTTCGCTCCATCATCTGCCTCTTGTCGGGATCCGTTGTCTCGTTCAGTTTCACGGAAAACGGCTGCGGCAAGAAGGACAGCTTACTTACACTTGTGCTCCGTGACGCCCTTGCCCGCCCAGGAGGCTCGAGGATGCCCAGAAGCTTGGGGCCTTTCCCCTCAGAGAGAACATCAAGGCCCAGGCCAGCTGCTGACTTTGGACACAGCCTTTTCCCCGTGCCCTCAAGCAGGCTGGTTCATCAGTGAGGCCGGAGAAGTTCCCGGCACCCCTGCGGTCAGCCACCCCTATGGGGAGGAGCTCACAGCCTGAGAGAGCGCAAGCTTCGGAGAGTGTCCTGGTGTCCTGCCTCCCCTCCTGAGACTGGAAGTGTCATCCCAACCTCACCCCAAAGTGCCAAATCCAATTCAATGTACACAACACTGACGGGTGTGTGTGTGTGTGTGTGTGTGTAACCTAGAAAGCGCTCACATGGGGTCACGAGACAAATCGACTCCTTCCCCTTTTCCACTCTGCTGTGATCCCACCAATTTCTGGGAAAAGCCGCATTGGCGCAGTGGTTAAAGCACTCGGTAGTGACGCACAAGGCTAGCAGATCAAATCCACCTAGCGGCTCCGTGAGAAAACAGAGCTGCCCTAGAGGTCGGTCTAGAAAACCCCATGGGGCGGCTCTACTCTGTCAGAAGGGTATGAGTCAGAACCAACAGGATGGCCCCCAATGGGTCACTGCTGCATGTCTGCCTGGGAGGGTCCCTGGACACTGAGGGTGGGACAGTGGGAGGCCGGGGACCAGCTCTTCCCAGACCTGCCGTGCAGAGTACTAGGGACGCAGCGCCCAAGGCAGGGGGTGGGGGCAGAGGGAGGCAGGGGTGGGGCAGAGGGGGACAGGGGTGGGGCAGAGGGAGGAAGGGGTGTGGGGCAGACGGGACAAGGGTGGCGCAGAGGGAGACAGGGGTGTAGGCAGAGGGGGACAGGGGTGTGGGCAAAGGGGGACAGGGGTGGGGCAGAGGGAGACAGGGGTGTGGGCAGAGGGGGACAGGGGTGTGGGGCAGAGGGAAGCAGGGGTGGGGTAGAGGGGGACAGGGGTAGGCAGAGGGAGTCACCTGAGAGGCAGCACGCACGTCCTCCAGGAGCTGGGTTGCCTGTGGCTGCGGCTGCCGATACCGCTCAAATAGGTGGTTCTGCCGAGCCCGTCTGATGATCTGGGAGACAGAGAAGGTTAACCACGAGTTACCCGCAGGGCACAGACCATCGTGAACAGTAGGGGCAGGTGGGCGAGCCTCCGCAGACCTCACCTCCGCCTTCAGCTGCCCATGTCCGGCCCCAGCAGGGGAGCTGGCCTAGCGTTCTTTCTGAGGCTGGAGGACCAAGCCTGCCCATCCCAATCCCTTCTGTAAGGTGTCCTGTGCGCCTAACATTCAGATGGTGTAGCCACTAGAAGCACAAATTTCTAACCGACAACAGTTTCTCGCACACCAGTGATGGGTAAGGCCATACCACTGGGGCTTCAAACACTGCGAGCAGGAGACCCTCTCTCTGGTCATCCAAGAGTTGCGCCCCTCATCTGCCTCCCTGCAACTTTAGAACGGCTCCCTGAAGACATGCCTGTACCTTGTCATCAATGTCTGTGATGTTCATACAGTAGAAGACGTCGTATTTGAAGTAGTCCTTCAACACTCTTCTCAAGATATCAAAGGAGATATAGGACCTGAAGCAAGGAAAGGCCAACGTTGCCAAACCGCAGGTCGTGTCCACAGCGTCCACACGGTGGCTCAGAAAGGACCCCGTGGCCTTTTAGGGCGGCGGCTCCTACTCCGCACGTGTGCCCCCCCCACCCCCCGTGACCCACTTTGCCTGGGCCCGCAAATCACAGAAGCTCAGCTTGACAATGATGAAGCATTTCAGGGGACGTGGACAGTGACTGGAGATGTCCAGCGAAATGGCAGGACTATGGGGAACTGGAGCGACATGGCCCTGTAGGAAAAGCATTGAACTGCGAACCTCAAGGTAGCCAGCTTGAGCCCACCAGCTGCTGCATGGGAGAAAGATGAGACGTTCTGCTCTCTACAAGGTTGGAATGAGTCAGAACCTGATGGACGGAGTGAACCGACAAGAGCTCTGGGGGACTGCTCTGTGTTCGGTAGTATTTCTTAATTTGTCTCCAGTGAACAGAGATTACTCGTGTAACTGAAAGATTTCATTTTAAAGATCAGAGAAATCCAAGTTCTTACTGCTGTTAAGCGCTGTCGAGTCAGTTCCGACTCATAGTGACGCTGTATAAGACCTCAAAGGAGCAGCTAGTGGGTTTGAACAACCAACCTTGTGGTTAGCAGTCCAATGCTGATGCTACGGTGCCACACCAGACTTGATAGCAGGGACCCAAACAAATCGGGTTCATGGATGTTTGATCGGCACTATTCACAGTAGCCAGAAGGTGGAGCCGACCTTCGACCTCCACCAATGGGGGGTGGGTCAACACGGTGAGGCCCATCCATCCGGTGGACGTTACTCAGCCATAAAGAGAAGAGAGAACTTCTGGTGTGGCGTCGTGGGGATCAGAACTGGACCGAGAACCACACAGTCAGCTGCTAAAACCCAACAGCTGCTCCTTGGAAACGCGACTCGACGACACTCACAATGACAACAGCAAAAGGAAAGGAATTTTGGATGCCTCTGAACACAGGACGACACTGAGTGAAATTCATCAGACATCAAATATTGAATGTCCCCACACATATGAAACATCTAGAGCAGGCAAATGCAGAGACCCAAGTTTATCTGTGGGTCCGAGGCTGTGTGTGGGAAGGGGGACAGGAGCCTGTAGCTGTTATTAAGGAACCCTGGTGTTGCACTGATTAAATGTTGGACTGGTACCTGAACTATCAGGGGTTTGAATCCACCAGCTGCTCACTGGGAGGAAGATGGGGCGCATTGCTTTGAAAACAATGTGTGTCTCAGAAATCCTCTGGGGCATTTCCACTCTGTCAGACAGAATTGCTTCGAGTTGATCCGACTCCACAGCAGCCGGATTAATTGCTGAAGGGGCCAGTATCTCTCATTAAGTGCTGTCAAATCAGTACTGACTCTGAATAGGGTTTCCAAAGAGCGGCTGGTGGGCTGGAACCGACGACCTTGTGGTTAGTGGTCCAGTGCTGACCCAAAAGCCCTGCATCAGGATCCCAGTTTCTCTTGCTGCTGTTACGTGCCATCGAGTCGGTTCTGACTCACAGCAACCCTGTACAAGGAGCAGCAGGTGGATCTGAACCACCAACTTTGTGGTTAGCAGTCCAGTGCTTATCCTACAGCGCCACACCAGCACTCCAAGTTTCTTTTATTGTTGTTGTTATTACGTGCCATTCAGTCAGTTCTGACTCATAGCAACCCTGTACAGGGTTTCTGCGGAGTGACTGGTGGGCTAGAACCGCTGACCTTGCGGTCCAGAGCATTCATCTGCAGTGCCACACCAGGACTTGAACGGGTGCAGAAATTTGAAACAGATTGTGGTTACGGTTATATAGCATGATCAACGCAATTAACACCACATGTGCAGAAGGAGTTGAATTGGTGAATTATAGGAGGGGGCTTCTAAAAGCTCATGGAAGAATTCCGTTATCTTTTCATTCCAAGTTTATAGACTCCATCACAATGAAGGCCCAGGGCTGACTTCCTCACAGACAGATCTCAGGCCATGTCTGGCCCATGGAGCCACCGCCCCAGCTCAGAGACACCCAAGTCATGCCGGCCCCTACCTGGCGTGTCCCATGTGAGAGGCGTCGTAGACGGTTGGTCCACAGCAGTACCACGTCACCTTTTTCCCATTTTGTGGTATAAACACGTCCTTTGTTAGAAACAGGGGGGCGGGGGTGGTGATGAGAAGACATGCGACCAACCAAGGGTCCACGGGGCCTCTGAGACCAGCAGCCCTAAGCGGAGCCCTTTGGCACCCAGGCACCCTCCTGGCTGGGCTGCTATGTCTGCATGGCGCGCAGTGGCAAGGGGAGACAAGTGGTTCTTGGTTGACGTGCCGCTTGTCTTACAACAATTTTGATCCTTCAAGATTACGAGTAGGCGCCCAGAGTAATACACTTGCTGCCTGTCACCCTGAGGGAGGCCAGGTTGGCTGTTTATTCCCACAGAGAATCAAGGGAGAGCTGGGCAGTGAGCCAGGGACATGAGCGGAGAAATCTCTATCTGGCTGAGCTCCCAGGAGCCTGAGGCTCGAGGCCGCCCAGCTTCCAAGAGGAAACTGTGAACCACCCGCCACCCGGCTCCACCCTCATAAGTCTGAGCCAGACAACATGTGCACAGGCCTGCCGTCCGCGCCTCCTGCCCAGCCTGGACCCTTCAGAGTACACCAGGCTGAGTGGGTGGCGGGCAGGGCCCCGGCCTTGGGCGGGTGGGCGGGGGCTGTGCTTACCTTGTTCCGGGTCAGACTGTTGTACAGACGCAGCCTGCACGTCTCGGTGCCCGCTGGAGGTGACCACTGGGGCTGCCCGCGACGGCTTTGGTTTTTACCTTGGAGGAGAGACAGAGGTTCAGGCAGCTGCAGGCCCCTACTTCCTGTTCTTGCCGCAGAAGCAGGACTGTCTGGGCCCACTCACAGGGACCCGACAGGACAGAAGGGAAGTGTCATCTTTATACAGATGCAGGCTGGTGGGATCAAACCACCGACCTTTCGATTAACAGCTGAGCACTTAACGGCTGTTCCACCAAGACTACCTGTGCTAAGGAGCAGATGATGCACCGTAACCTAAAGTACCTGGGGCCGAGCGGGGCTCAGTCAGCACCGAGGAGAACCGTCCCGTGGGCTTGAACCACCGACCTTTCAGTGAGCAGTTGAGTGTCTAACTGATCCACACTCCCAGGGATCCCAGAGTACCCCGAGAACACAGAGGTCCTGTTCTCACACTGGGGATCTCCGATGAGGACCTCCAGTCCCGTCCTGACGTCAGGAGCTCTGCAGCGTGGTCCCGGGACATCCCACTGATCCCCAAATACTGGCTGTCCCATTGTGGGGCGTGCACTCCACTGCACGTGGGCTGTGATAGGGAGGTGCTGGACCAGCAAACACAGGGTCACTGCCGGTCTGCACTGCGGACCCCTCGGGATCCCTGTCCCTCCTCAGGGTCAGGCTCACGGGACCCCCGGGTAGAGTGTCCAGCTCCGAGCAGCTCCAGCCTCAGACCACAGCCAGCGGAGACAGGAAGAGTACCTCCTCTACCCCTGCCAGGTCCTCGGAGTCCCAAGCAGACACTGGAGACAGCTGGGGACCCTGAGCCACTGCAGATGCTGACCCAGACGCCTTGTGCTCTACAGCTTGCCCTCCCATGCTGCCTTCGGGGAAAGCCAGAGGCCCCTCAGACCCAGCCCAGGCTGAGTGCCCCCTGTAGCCAGCAGCCCGACTGGCCCTCATCCGCCTCCTTCCACCACACTCCCCTTACTCTGCTCAGCAGGACCCTGGGCCAGCTGCCAGCCCCCCTCTCCTGGGGTCTCAGGGTGCTGTGGCCAGGGTTCTGACCACTTGAAGCAGAAGACTGCGTTTCCCGGACAACATGCTGGTCGGAGAAGCCGCTGGGCCAGGCTGGGTGCCACCCCCAACCTCGCCTGGGGTTAGCCTAGTCTCTCTGATCACATCGTGTGTCCTCTGTGGGCACAGACTCAGGGCCTCTGTCCCCACCTGGCACTTTCACTGGGCAGCCTGGTGAGAGGTTCTCCTCCCGACTCCAGTCTCAGCCTCTTGGGGTGGGGCTGGCACGGGGCTGCTCCACCACACCTGAGGGTCAGCGGCAGGGATGCCTGCCAAACTCGGCCACTGTCCCCAAGGTCCAGGGAGGCGGAGAGCAGCTGTGTGCATGTGTAGGTGGAAGCAGGGCAGGGAGGGGACGGCTGGACCACCTGACAGTACTTAGGGGGAGCTCCTCCCGGAACCACTGGTTCTACACCTGTGAAAATCCACCCAGAGGAAAATACTTCATGCTGACCAAGGTCACTCCACGGTCATACAGAGGCATTGAAGCGTATCCGATGTCCTTGAAGGAAGTCTTAGCTGGTGATGTGGGACATCTGAGCTGCAGTCTTCATTCTCACTAACCAGACTCACAGGGACCTTCCAAAGGGTCTCTGACACTGTCTCTGACAGCTTCTTCCCGAGCAGCTGCTGGTGGGTTTGAACTGCTGACCTTGTAGTAATTAGTCAGTGCCGATCCTACCGCGCCACACCAGGGCTCCTTCAGTCTTGCAAAACCCAAACTCAAATATGTGCCATCAAGCTGGTGCCCAACCATCGCAACTTTTTAGTAGGGTCTCTGAGATCGTAAAGCTTTACGGGAGCAGACTGTCTCATCATTCTCCCATGGAGTGGCTGGTGGTTTTGAACCACCGACCTTTGGGTTAGCAGTCCCACACCTAACCCATGGTGCCATTCTTCACGAAGAATTGAAGATTCCCAGAACAAGGAGAGGTCATGGCTACTTCCTGACGTCACCCTGAATTTCCAGCGTGGGAGGCTTGTTCTGAGGAACCTCATTCCTCAGGACTCGGGGGACAGGACGCAGCTGAGGGGCACCGGGCCTCCCAGGATGCCAGGTTTCACCGGGCTGGGGAGAGGTTTGAAAAGGGGCACCCACAAGTGCAGGTCTGTGAGAAGAAGACAGTGGGCAGTGTCACAAGAAATCAACACCACATCCAGTGCCACCGGGTCGGTTCCAACTCCTGAGGAGCCTGTGAGGAAGAGAACCAGGCCCGGACCATCCATCACGGCTCACTCCCGCAGACTGGCTGCAGGATTCAAACCACCAACCTCCCGGTTTGCAGACAAACACTTAACAATGGCATTACCAGGACTCCTTCAAGACACCCCAAACCCCAAACCAAGCTGACTGCCATCGGGTCAATTCTGACTCGCTGTTATTCTAAAGGACAAAGGAGAACTGTCCCACTGGGCTTCCGAGACGGTCAGTCTTGATGGACGTAAGCTGCCTCATCGTTCTTCTGCAGAATAGCTGGTGGGTTCGAACCGCTGACCTTTTATTAGCACCAAATGCTTTCACCCCGGTACCACCAAGGCGTCTGGTATTCCCAAAGGGCCCCTGATTCACTATGACAGGTGGTCCTTAGCACCTGGAAATCCCAGTCAGTGTCCCCGCGTTCCCACAGATGTGCCTGCATGTTTCCGAGGCAATGACTGTGTGCTCATTAACTCAGGGCGGTCACACCAAGTCCCAACAACAAGAGCCTGGAACAAAGGAGGCGAGGCCACGGGTGTGAGCGGTCAGGCCTCAGTAAGCAGGAACAACCCTGATGTTCCAAAGTCCAACACCAGCATCAGCCACCGCAGGCCCAGGAGACACACAGAGAAGGAAGCAAACACACAGCCTCGAGGCACACAGTGAGTCCAAACAGTGGAGGACGGGGCAAGACAGATGTGTGCTCGGGGCAGGCTCCTCCCAGAGATCTGTGGCCACTGCATCCCACAGCACCCTATGTGGGTGGCGGTGAGGATTCCTGGCCACGGGACCACCCTGCTGGGCACAGGCTATGGGGCAGGTGGCCCCCCATGTGGCTACTCACTTGCTTGGAGCCCACAGGGCTGGCCTGGGCCATGGGTGCCACCGAGGACCGCCTGGACGTGCCGGAACCAGCGCACCACGTGGAAGAGTCGCAGGTCAGGGGGAGGTGCCGAGAACTGCCTGAACATGTCCACGTCAGCCTGGGACAGCGTGTGCCCCTGGACATAGCTGCGTGTGCTGAGGTGCTCATTCAGGGCCTCCAGCCGCTTGGCCTCATCTCTTATGTTCAGGATCAGCCTGTAGTCGGGAGCTGCGGGGACAGACAAGGGCCTGAGTGCAGGGATGGAGACACGGGCACAAAGGTCGGGTGGGCAGGGGTTGATGCTGAGTGAGTGGACGGTCCATGGGGCAGGGGGGTGGTGCTGGGTGAGAGGACAGTTTATGGGGTAGAGGGGTGATGCTGGGTGTGGGGACAGTGTATGGGGCAGGGGGTGATGCTGAGTGAATAGTCCACGGGCAGGCGGGGTGATGCTGGGTAAGTGGATGGTCCACAGACAGGCAGGGTGATGCTGGGTGGGAGAACGGACATGAAACACAGGCACGAAGACATTTGGGGTCTTTGGGGACAGGAGCCCTGGGCTGCTAACCACAAGGCCGGGGGTTCAAAAGCCCACCAGTCGCCCCATGGGAGAAAGACGAGGCTGTATGCTCCCGTAAAGACTCAAACTTGGAAACCCTAGGGAGCAGCCCCGCTCTGTCCTAGAGGGTCGAGATGAAGGCAGTGGGTTTTACAGACTCAGAAGAGGCCCTGTTGGTGCAGTGGGTTAAGCACTGCACTGCCCTGAGGTCGGAGGATTCAACCCAGCAGCCATTCCACAGGAGAAAGACAAGGTTGTTCGCTCCAGTAAAGATTTACAGTCTCAGGGAGAAGCCCCTTTCTGGGCTTGGTCATCTTTGGCCCCTGCAGAGGTGGGGGTCGGGGGGAGGTGTAGTGGGACAGGGTTGGGGCCACACCCCACAATCGCCCCTGCAGGAGTGACCAAGGGGCGGTCAAGCGGCACAGTGTCAGACACGGAGGAGGACAGAGGGGGCTAGGCTGCCTGGAGGCTGGGATGAGGGGGTTGCAGGGCCCAGAGGGGTATGGTGGTGGCCTTACTCCCCTCCTTTAGGCCCCTGTCTCTGCCACAATCCCCCCAATAAAGGGAGCCACACACAGAACTCGGGGTGCCCAGGAAGTCCGAGGCTGTTTACTGCCGTGTCCTCTCCACACTAACCACAACATCTGCCTCGTCAATCACCCGGGGACAGACGACTATCCCAGGAGGTCAGGAGCACCACTCGGGGAAGGTTCCGGAGCTTGGGGACGGAGGCCCCAGGACAGCTAGGCTGGTCACGGAGTGGCACTCAAGTGTGCCTCGGGGCAATAGAAACTCAAGTAGGCCTGCCTTCCAGGGGTCCTGGGCTCAGCCAGCTCTCACCACGATGTGACGGGATCAGCTGCCAGTTCAAGCCAGAAACTCGTCAGAGTGAATCAGTTTCCGGTGGTGAGAATGCCCCCGACGTGAAGCTCGGGGAGCACAGGTCAGAACGCGGGGTCCTTAGAAAGTTTTCCCCCAAATCACACAGATGTCAAGTGTAAGAAAGGGAGGGGTGGTGTCTAACTTCACAAGGGGAAGGGGGAGAACCAAGATCAACATCAGCTTACAGCGAGTACCACCTCCTCTCTAGGACCTTGGCACCAGCCGCCCCTCCGTCCCTTCCACAGCACACTCTCCTTGTCTGTTGGCTTCCACGGTTCCCTGCAGTGGCCGGCCATCCTAACAGCGACAGGTTTATGAGGGAGCCACAGGTGACAACTCGGGATGGAAGCATGCGAGCCAAGCCTCCCTCCTTCAAAGTGGAGCAGCTTCATTCCAGCACTCCACTCCACCAGCAAGCCTCCAGCCCGAAGGCACTCGAAGGGGTCTCCGTCGCAGGTGTCAACAGCTCCAGGTGCCCTGGACACCCCACTCTACTGCTTCCCACCCATGCCACCTAAGGTGCACAGCTTGCTAGCTCAGTATAGCTGCTGTGTCCCATGGACCAGTATAAACCCACTGTGCCCTCTCCTGGTTCTGTGGCTCTCCGGCTGTTCACCGTGCCCTCTCCTGGTTCTGTGGCTCTCCGGCTGTCCACCGTGCCCTCTCCTGGTTCTGTGGC